GCAGGAAACTTTTCGTTGTTTCCTTATTTCCTTCCTGCGCGTGGACCAGTTGAGCAGCTTTTCGGCCGGACACCCAGGAGGTTCCAGGCCAGAGTCGGAGAGCTGGGCTCTGGGTTTCCTGGGGGCATCGCCCCACTCCATCCCCTCCCCTATCCCACGTCCCTGAGGGGGACGGGGCGGGGGGACCCTCCTTTCCGACCTCCCGCTGCAAGCCCAAGTGGGACGCGTCCGCGTCCACGGTTTTAGACGTTGTGTTTGCGTTTTAACCTTCACAGCGCGAACCGGGTACCTTGGCTACTTCTGGAGAAGGGCTGAGGCTTAGCACTCGGGCGGAATGACTCGGGTCCCCGAGCCTTCTGAAGCCCCCCATCCCCACCCCCTCCCCCGGCGCAGCTCGGCAGAAAGGAAGGTTGTCTGCTGCCAACGTGCAGGACACGGATCATTTGGGTTTTTTGGTGGGGTTTTTTTTTTTTTTTGGTCGTTTTGTTTTCTTTTTCTTTTTGGCTCAGCTCTGAGAGCATTACAGAGCTATCCCTTCCCGCCTCCCGACCCTCTTCCCCTCCCCCTCTCCTTTCTGGTGCAAGCAATTAGGGTGAAGAAATCATTGCCAGGCTCCTGCCTCTAAAGAGAAAGGAATCGCTTCGGGGAATTGAGTCCTGACACCTGTCTCTGCCCTGGATGGCAGGAGGGGATGCGGGGTCAAACCTCCTGGCCTGGGGCCGAATAGGGGAAGAGGCCTGGCTGACCGGGAGGGGACGACACCCCCTAAAGAACGTTCCTGGGGACTCCTCCCGCCACGTCTTCCCGCCCCACCCTTCGGCCTCCAGCTGCACACAGATCATTAACACGCGGGTTATTAACACGGAGTGGCGTCCCCACCCCCCACCCCCGTTTCAGGGCCCCAAGACCTGGATCCAGTGCTAGAATCAGAAGAGCCACACTGACAAGCCGTTCGTTCATGAATTTGCATTTATTTTCGGGAAGTTATGTCGATAAACGGGGTGGGGGGGCTGCCTCACATTTCAACAAGTAATTTGTGATCTTCACATCGGACAAATTAAATGTACAAATTACTTTCCCACCTACTGGACGAAATGGCCAAAGCCAAAATTGATACACAGGTGCGGGCGAGCCGCATATTTGGAGCGGGAGGTGCACTAAGAACTCACTAGACAAAACAGGGGCGGCTGAGAGAGAGAAGCTGGCGGGAATGGGAACTGGGGTTTGGGTTTGTTTGTTTTCCCAGAATATATTTTTCTTTCCTTTTTTTTTTCTTTTTCTTTTTTGGTCTCTAAACCAGAACCACGACCCTGTGGGTAGCCCTGAAGGACACAGCCCCAGCCCAGCCCCCTCCCCTCTGACCTGACTTTTCTGCTTCCTCCACACTCCGGGCCCTCCGATCCCCAGCGCCCAAACGGTTCTCTTTAATAAATACAAACAGGGAAAAGGTGTGAGGGCAGGGCAGCTTTGAACAACTGAAAAAGTAAAAGCGCCATCGTTTGAGGAAGAGAAGCAGGGGGACAGAGGGAAATATTTTTGCTTTTGTTTTATATATAGATGTGTATATGTATATATATATATGTTGTATATATCTTAAAGTTCTATTTCCTGGGCGCTAAAACGAGATATGCTTCAGTTCAACCAACAGCCACTAGAAAGTGTGAGTGGTCCTTGGAACGGACCGACTATGTACAGCATTCCCGCTGAGGCGGAAGCGTGAGCCTGGTCTACGCGGGGCGGGGCTGAGCGTGAGAAGCGGGGGGCGCCTCCTCCGGGGCCGGCCCCAGCGCATCCTGCATCCTGGGAGGAGGAAGAGCTGAGAGCTCGGGCCTGCAGGCGGGGAGCGGGGCCCAGGGCCGATGAAGGGACGGCAGCCTGCACGGGAAGAACACGCGGTGGGTGTTTGGGAGTAGAGTGTGGGTGCACTCAAATGGGCAAACACATGCCAGTTAGTGACTCCAGTGTCCAGGAAGAATAAATAAAAGTGTAGGGCTCAAACAGCCGGTCAGAGCCGAGAGCCTCCGAAGGCTGCAAGTGCATATAATTGTCCACAAGGACTGGGAGAGGGTGAATGAGGAGGTCGGCGGGGTTAAGGGGGAGAGCACACAGCGCTCCCGTAGAGAACTGGTGCGCCAAGCCAAAGCACCGGCCCCTTCGCCCAAGGGGTGGGTGGATTTGCACCTCCTACCCTAGCAAGTGGCACGAAGGTGAGGGCGGCAGTGCAGGCCATGGGCATCGTG